TATGATACTCAATGAGTTTGATACTCTATTTATTGCATTTTTCGTAATATCAGTAGTTGTAGATTAGTGCTATAAAAACAATTAGGGTATTAACAAGTCGTTCGAAAAGATAAATAAAATGTAGCAGAATTGTTACCATACTTCTGGATGTCTTTGTGTTAGGCACTTACAAGCGGTTTACGGCAAGTTAACACTTTTGTGTAAACCCGGTTTTACAATAAGCGGCAGTTTACTACACATCGTACACATTAAGTTCCCTTTGCATTGTATTGTATGTTTAACAATAGGTATAGTGTAATCAACACATTTATAAGTATGTATTAAAAACTTGGAGCAGACCGAAACGTGTGTCCGCCTCTAGCCTTTCGCCAGAAGCTATGTTTTTGGATTTGTGGTTCATTGTGCTCCCTAGTACCTGAAAATAAGACTTGTATTTTAGTCTCCATATCAAGGGTGTAGAACCACATCTCCAGTAGAATCGAGGAGCTAACACCATAGAAAATAGACTAAAAAATATAGCAATTTGATAGATGGTTCAACACTGTACATTCACATTAAATCACATTTATTTATGGTCTAGGCGGTGAATGAGGTGGCTCAAGTTTAACCTTTAATCATTTTCGTCCTTTTTTCAACGATCTTCCAGACTCAGGAGCCATATATTTGATCATTATCCATCATTTCTAGGGCTAAAAATGTATTGTTGAAACAATTCACAGATAATGCACAGTGACTAATGCTAGTGATCTACACACATCTCAGTCGATACCGATGAGATGATTGTTAGGCTAACAACAATATTCCACGTTATTAATAGCATTATATTAAGCTTATAGTTTCCTAACCATATCCATTCATATATGTTATACTAGCATTCGTATTTGAGTTTTAGTGCGAGCTCATATCTGTACTTACTGTCGTCGTTGAGGGACATAGCTATGTCCTTGAGCTGTAATAACGTTACGTGAGTTCATCCACCTATCTTCATCCCATTACTTACTAGAATCACGGTTAATATAGAGGTACCTAGTATGCTCCCACGGATTTCTAACTCTTTTTCCCTAATAGGCCTTTGTTCGCTCGGAACTGCGAGAGATGTTTGGACACGTTCCTACTCGATGCCTCGGCTCTGAGACACTAATCAACACCGTAATTATCACAGTTATTTAATACTATTTGTTGTTGCAGTCTGATTTATATACGCACCGTACACACAAGCTGACTAGGTGTACAGGGTATCAATTGCTATTCCTATCATCGCAAATTCCATGGCACACTCTCATTTGATTAGTTTGCAAGTTCTGAGCCTAACTTCATAATGCTTGTCTACGCAGAGAGTCTGTGTTCTCATTCAATATAATAGCGCCTTCAGCAGGAGATAGCCCAAAGCAGTTATTTCTAAATAAAAATAATTGATATTCGTTCGAACAATGGACTGAGAGGTTTCTAATCAACACCTTGCTAATTTCGTGCTTTCATTTCTCTGATTGTTAAAGTTTTCAATTAATTAAACACATGCTATTTTAGCGGTAGCGAGTTCCAGATAATTAACATTGTGCAAATCCTTATTTGTGATTTCCTTTTCAGCTCAGAGGTAAATGGTCAACGATTCATAACCTGGGTAAAGTTCCCGAATTTCGCAGAATCTCTCTCATATAGTATTTTTTCACTCATTTTCCACATGCATCCTAGGTTTTAATATCATTGATTATATACACACCATCAACACACATATTTTGTTAATTAAGAATAGCCACACAGCCCCCATCACTTTCATAAAATGTGAACTCTCAATTAACCTTCTTACCCCATATTAGTTTTTCATATGAGTGGATCATAGTGGCTAAAATGTTATGGAAGATAAAATTTGCCTTACAGCAGAGGTTTAGGTGAGCCTTTACAGAATAATACACCGTACTTGATCGTCGAGAGCCTTCTATCAAATTTTCTTGAATCTGAAACACAAATGGTACAAGTATCGATGATAAACCCAACGTGCTCAAAACCCGAGATTTTCAGATTAAAATGAAGCTCTCGGCGATCAACAACTTTTTTGGTAAAGGCCAAAGGTGAGCAAATCACTCCTACTAGATCAAAACCTAGAGAGAAGGTAGAGTCTAGAGTGAGAGGCTCAACAATGGTGATTTTGGAAAAGTAAAGAGAGAGAAGAAGTGAAAAAGTGATTTGAAGAGTCACAAATCGGGACTTTAACCCAGGTCTCCGCTCGAGCGTAAAACACCCCGCTCGAGCGGCACTCACAGACTTCCGCTCGAGCGGCTAACCTCCGCTCGAGCGTAGAATGCACTCGCTCAGCACTTTTGCAGAACCAGACCTCCCGCTCGAGCTCCAACCCTACGCTCGAGCGTACAACACTGCACAACAATACTGGATGGGTGTATTCCGCTCGAGCGCCAACATCTCCGCTCGAGCGGACAGGCCAAAAATCTGGGTAACTAGTTTTGGTTTCTAAACTCAACCAACTTGAAGCAAACCCACACCACACATCCCATAACTCAAATACGAAGTAAAAAGGATGTAAACAAAATAATAAACAACTACCAACATCCACGGACACATGTCCGGATCACTACACAACAAAGGTAAATCCGGGATCGCTATAGTTTTAGAGTAATGGATTGACAAATTGCGGTTTGGGTGATTTTTGACGGATTGACAGATTGAAAAATATTCTAATTAATTATTGTATATTTACATAATATACAACACTAATTTATATAATATTATATATATATATATGTATAACACAAAGTAATTTCACATAATATAATTTGTAATAAATTTCATATTTTAAATCTCTCTCACACTTATTTTTACATTGATATTTTATTGAAGGTAAAAAAATATATGTATTAACTATAGCGGAGCAGTTTGAAAGGCAGATTATAAATTTTAAAGTTTAAACCGTGGTTAACGGTTAGAGCATTACAAATTGATTTGGATCGGTGTGATTTTGACAGATTAAACAGTATTTTGCACAACTCTACACTTATCTCTCAATAAATAATGTGAAACAATACTGCAAGACTAACCAATAACTTCTCGTGAAAATCACCCCTTCATGTTTGATGGGTACCTTCTTTTTTTTTTTTTTTGAGAACAAATTTGATGCGTACTTAAAAGAGTTGATTTTTTAAGGGGTCGTTTGTTAACTTAATTTTTTGATTAACAAATTATAAAATTATTAAAAAATTAAAAAATCACTAAAAATGTAAATCATTTACACCAATCATTAAGTTTTTTTTTTTTTTTTTTTTTTTTTCATATAACTAAAAAAAGTCATTTCTATTTTTTTTTTTTTAAAACCATTAAAAGAGTCAAACTCTAAATGAGGTCTAATTGAATTTTTTATTTTATTTTGTAATTTCAGGTCATTGCCAATCTTAGGAGATTGTGGTAGTTAGTGACAACATTGGGAGCTTTACCCACCCAAAAAAAAAAAACATTGGGAGCTTGTTTAGGGTGTATTAAAATAGTACACCTTTTATCATTTTATTTTTTTTGAGTTATATTATTTTTTTTAATCTTTTTTTTATACATTTCTTAGTAAAAAAATTAAAATGTGCATTTATTTAATTTATCTCAAATAACTCCTTAAATGTGATTTTAGTAGCCGGCGGTGGTGTTGCCTACAAGAGATGATGGTCGGAGGAAATTTCTGGTCGATGAGATCATCGACAAAAGAGGTGAAAGGAGATTGCCCATGATGATAACCAAAGTCAAGAATGGCTAGTGATGGGTTGTTTTTGGAGGCCATTTATAAATTTATTTTTTAATTTATTACAAAAAATATGTAGAAAGTAGAAACGTAATATGATCTAAATAAATTAATAAGTTAATAAATTAATTTTTTTTTTCCTTTCCAAAAGTGGCCGGTTGGTGGTCACCAAAGAGTTACAAAAAGAAAAAATAATGAAAACTTGTATTTTTCTTTTCCTTTTTTTTTTGGTAAACAAGTGACAATCTTAAATATTTGTTTAGTCGAAGGCTAGCAAACTCTAAACAACAATCTCAGGTTCACTGCCCTGTTTGGTAGCTGTTTATAAATTTCGTTATTCTAAATATGAATAAATTATAAATACACATTTCGAGATTTATTTAAAATATAGATTTACCCTTTTAATTTAGAAAATTACAAATATCTTATTATCAAAAAAATTTTATTTAACAAAATTAACTAAAAAAAATGAAATTCCTAACTGTTCTCTCATACAATGATAAAACTACCTAAATTATTAATTAAAATAAAATTTTGATATCATTAAAAACTGTTAATTGAAATAATGATTTATTAATAAAATGGACTATTTATTATAAAATTAAAAACTTCAGTGAACAAGATATAATTTTCAAAACCATATGATGTAAATATTATTTTAAGCAAATTTAGAAAAATAACAATACAACGTAGAAAATTAAAAAAAAAATTACAAATAACTCTTTTTTTTTGAACGAAAATTACAAATAACTTTGAGTTGCAGCCTTTCAATAATTTCTTTTTTGCCTATTTCAGATGGAGTAATGATACATAACTTTAATTTGAGAGCTCTAAATGGAGCTCTAGTGAGGTGAAAGAGAGAGAAAGTAGAGAGTGATAGAGAGAGAAGTGTGGGGTGCCCACCTTCATATGAGTACTATCTATATCATTAGAATTGCATTAGAGCTGCATTAGAGCTTTCAAACATTATTGTTTAACATGTAAATCATTAAAATTTCAGCAATACACCGACGCTACACTTAACTATTCAAAAATTATCATTTTATAATTCAAATTTATTCTATTTATAAATTTTATATTACACAAATTTAATTTTTTTACAATCAGCCATCCAAAAAAATCTACGTGATTAGCAGACTTTTTCTTAAAAATACAAAGTTTTGGGGAGACAGTTGGGTCCAAAGTAACGAATCAGCATCAACTAACTAACTTGTAAGTTACAGGTGAGAGACCGTCGAGAACAAATCTCCAGTCAACCCAAAAACCCTCCATCCCCACATTTCTCGTTCAAATAAATCCGTTCCACCCCTACCATTCTCTCTCTCTCTTCTCTAAATTACATTACATATATCTTCTCTACCATGGTGCTGTTTTTCAGTCCATTTGTTGTTGGAGACCCAATCCAAATATCCAACTCACTACTCATACTATGCATTCTTGGGCATTCCTCAGAACATCCTCATTCTCATCCTCACCCTTCATCCTTTGATTCCTTTCAGCTCAACGCAACGCTAGTTGTCCGATGTTCACCCAATCAAATGGCTCATCCTCATCCTCGTCCTCATCCTCTTGTGGATCCAGCAATAGCAATGGTGGTGGTGGAGGGAACAAGAAGAGGGGTCGCTCGAATTCAGATTTAGAGTCGATTCTGAGATCGATCTCTTCGGGGATCTTCGTAGTGGTAGGGTCGAGCCTAGGGCTTTCTTATTGGTCTTCGCTTTCTGATTCTAATTCTTTTTTGTCTTTCGTGGATTTGCGAGGCCAGAATGCGAATGTGAATGCGAATGCGAATGCAAATGCAGAGCCTGAGCACAAATCCAACTTCTTATTTGGAGGTATAATTAATTAAATTAATTAATGGTTGATATGAATAATACGGTTCATTACATTTTTGCTCATGAAATTTGTGTCATTTTGGTGTTTAACATTTAAGTTGTGTCAATTTAATTGTCATTGTATAAAAAATGTTTTAATTTAGTTTCTCGATCAAATTTCGTCAAAAAACCGAGCGCCATTAAATTAGGGATAAATGTGTAATTTTTTAAGTGAGTATTCACCTTAATGATACATATCACATGTTGTAGGATTAAAAAGTGCAATTTTTTAAAGTGAATTTTCATATTTATCCCTAACTTTAACCTGTCTACTGACAGAGTTAGATTGGCTGTGTTTGTGTTTATGCAATATTTCACGTTCTTAGATGCAATAAATGGTTTTTAGGAGATTTATTTGAAATCACTAAAATCTAATTTGAACTTAAATTTAATTGTTTTGTATGACTCTAAGGTGTCTGAAAATTTTAGGTGATTCGTGATTAGATCAAGATTAAAATATTTCAAATCCCAATAATCCAAAATACACAATCTAAATCAACAAGCACTTATGAAAGTGATTTAGATTGTTTGTTTTTCGGAATAAACAATAAATCGACACAAACGATTCCACTACTGAAGAAAGAAAGATTACAAAGATAACACACAAATTACCCAACTCAGTCAATTTGTCTTCGAATCTTCTGTAAATCTTTTACCATGCCTTCGTCTCAGAACTGATCAATCCTGAAGTTGAATCCACAACTTCGTTTGTCGAATAAACGACTACGTACAGAATCAAACGCCTTTTGAAACTCTACGTTTGAATCTTCGAAATCCTTCGAAGAATAACTCTCTTGAATTTCAAGTAACAAACTCCTTGATGTATGTATCTTAGATCATGAGTGAAGAACTCTCTCAAAACATCAAGGAAAACTCACTAAAATTCTCCAGAAGAAACCTCAAACAAAACCCTAAAAAAACCTTAAACAAGATCTTGGAGAAGTAATCCTAAACTTGACCCAACATGTGAATTTATAGAGCTGAGTTCGCGTGGTCCGCTCGAGCGTGGGAATTCCCGCTCGAGCGGAGACTTCAAAATTGTGTGATTCATATAGGCTTCACACTCGAGCTGAAGTTTCCACACTCGAGCGTCGAATCACACCATCCAGTACTTTTTCAGGTAAAGCAGAGATGCTGTGAGCTTGCAATCCCCGATCGAGCGTCACTTTCCCCGCTCGAGCGGGGAGACCAAAATTGGAAAATTTGGAAGACTGGATCCTGTTACAACCTTGGTTTTGATTCATGGAATTTGACAACAAAGGGTCCTAACAATCTCCTCCTTTGTCAAATCCCGGACAAAACCATTCTAAAATAGTTTTCCTAATAGAATCACAGAAGTACTAAAACAATTGACCAAACTATTCTAAAACAATTTTCCAACCAAAATCACAAAATCAACACCACCAACTATGAACCATCATTCACAGCCAAAGCTCAAATCCATGCTCTTGAACAATCATCCTGAAAGAAAACAACCACACACAAGCTAACCAAAAATATGTGGAACTGGATTAAATAAGAAACGACAAGTCCATTCATAAACAAACCATCCAAAACATATGACAATCCAACTGTACCAAAGAATGATAGAAGTAAAGGTAAAAATAACTGTAGTAAAAACAACTGTACCATGTACCATTACCATGTACACCAACAAGATATACCAAAAAACTGTAATAAAGTAATAACTGTACCACCACCAAAACCAACTCCCCCTTTTTGTCCGGAAGGGAACAAAAGAAAGAGAAACAAAACAAAAGAGCAAAGATCAAAGATCAAGGAGCCGGAGGCGGAGACTGCATTTGAAGCAAGGTCAAGATCTGAGCCAGCTGGGATGAAGACTGTGCCACAGAATCCTCAATCCGCTGGGACGAAGCCTCCAAGGCACTAGAATGGGAATCGGTAGTGGTCTCAAGATCGGTGAGTCTGGCCTAAAAAATATCCAGCCGCTCCTCAAGATGGTCAAACCGGGAACCAACAGAGCGCTCGAGGGACTGAAGCTGACCACGGACTGTACGAACTGGAGGATGCTGCTCCCCCTCACCAAGCAGCATCATACTCTGCCTCCTCTGCCATAGCCGCAGCAGCACTAGGACCTGCACCAGATCTACCAGAACTAGAAAGAACCCCCTTAATGTGAGACTGACTCTGGGAGACACTCTTCTTGGTGAAGGGCCGGGAAGGAGAGGCAAACTCATCCTCATCGAAAGTAGGGACCTCAAGTTTGGCAAGAAGCTGGTTTATAAGGCAGCCATAGGGTAAACCAAGATTGTTACGCTCAAAAGCAGCAACCATCTTTTGAATGATCAATGGGGCAAGATCGATGGAACGATTTTGAGCTAGGCACTGAAGGACAAACCCTTGGTCTTGATTAATTTTGGAGCTATGGGTGGTAACAATGATATTGGCAAAGTTGAGTAACCTAAATTGTGGGAGAAGTTCATTCTGTTTTATCAAGGAACCGGAAGGCCACGAACGAGGAAAACCACAAAGGGTCTGAGCAACCTCATCAAAATCACATGTGGGGCGCACTGGAAAAGGGTAAAAGATAGGAAATCTCTTACTAATCCCTAAAAGCTCGCGGATAATAGCAGTGGTAACAGTGATTTCCTTGGAGCGAACCCATGTCTTAAAAGATGGTCCAATGGTGTCAAGACCATCCATATTGCAATAAAATTCTCGTACCCAAGTAAGATTTTGTGACCTAGAAAAAAGAAGAACCTCATCCCCACCCAAGGGATCAAAGAAAGACCGGATAGGAATGGACTCAAAGGTGGAGGGTTTAACATTACGTTCAAGATGGACGGAGCGGGATGGGTAGGACTCGCGGTATAACTTGGCTTTTTCAGCCGATGGGAAGCGGTCAGTGTTATATGGAGGGTGAGAGGCTGTAGACTTACGCCTTTTGAAGGTGGACATGACTAAGCACTACAAAGAAACCCCAACCCAAGATAAACAAAAACCAACAAAGCCAAGAGAGACAAACGCAAACATTAGTAACACAGGGTCATAGCAAAATGAGACAATGGAATAAGATGATGATGCAACAAGGCAGTAAAAGCAAAGGCATGGTAAGCAAGGCATCCGGCATAAGAATAGCATAAGTGAAATGAAAGGAGAAGCAGTGCTATGAAAATACCTTATCAAACACACATGAATCCAACATGAATAAAAAACATTAAGATAAAGGAAAGGGGAAACAATGCTATGAACATATCTTATCAACCAAACATGAATTCAACATGGGTAGACACGCTAGTGTCAAAACAAAAAAACACAAAACCACAGGACAATATATGGAAAAAAAAAGTAAAGCCCCAAATTGAAACCTAAAACCAAAATGGAGCCAACAAAACCAAATTAATAACCCTAGATAGAAGAGAAAGAAACTAAAATCAAGAACAAGAAACCTAAATCTGAAGGGAAAAAAAAAACAAAAAAGACCCAACTACACAGTGTAAAAACAACCCAAGCACAACAAAAAACAAGAAATCAAAGGGTCCGAAATACGACACAAGAGCAGAGGGAAAAGAGAGGAGAGACAGACCTGAAGTGAGCATACACACTCAGAGCACAAAGGAGTCACCAAGGAGGCACAATGGACTGAAATCGCAAGGAAGCCCTAGGAGAGAGAGAGCAAATCGCAAAAAATGGACTGAAGAGTCGAAGGAGGGAAATTTATACAAAACCAGTCCGCTCGAGCGTGAGTTTTAACGCTCGAGCATGAGTCAAAATACGCGAAGACTCGCTCGAGCGGGAAAACGACCGATCGAGCGCCAATGCACCCCTCTAAGAACTGTAAAGGGAAGAGAAAAATGCTGCAAGTCACAAAACCACGCTCGAGTGTGGGAAATTCCGCTTGAGCGGAGACAAAACAATTTTTTAAAACAATTTTTTTTTAAAAAAAAAAAAAAAAAAAAAAAACTAGATACTCACAAACAGAAATGAGACCTGAAACACAAGAGGATGATCACATTTGGCCAAAATTGACACTAAGATGAAATAATCCGCACATTATGAAATCTGTAAACTTGCAATTTTGAAAAACAATGACACTGGAAATCATGAGCAAAGCAGATATAATAATCAGTGATCATACGCTACATGAGAATGTACAACTCAAAAACCAACATGAGATCTCACAAAGTAAAGTGTGTGTGTGCAATCCATGAGAGTCCACTGAGCTAGAGTTAATCCTCGTAGTGATCGGATGGCTGGACCTCCGGCAAGAGTAACTTAACAACACAGAGAAAAGTCAAACCACTAGGAATCACGGGGTATTTGTTGAGTAAAAGCGGAGGCTCCCCCTTGTAGACACCCCATTTTTGACCGACCTTAAGACTCAGACGTCACTGATTGAGCGCTTGGTGATGTTGCATATTATGCTCGTTCTGAGGTTTCAAAGTTTCAGCTGCGAGCCTTGCCTCCGGACTTCGGGGCTCTTGCGTGCTTTGCCTCGGTTCGCGAACCAGGCTCAATTTTCTCTGTTTCTCTTCCAGAAGGGAGGGAGAGGTCTCGTAGATCATCTCTCAGTGGCTGTAGGCTACGTTTCGTGGTCGTAGGCCATTTTTGCCCGTTTGGAGTCCGGTTTCCGGTTTTTCGGAGCCGTTGGCCGTGCGCCTCGGTTCGGGACCGCTTAACCACCTCCGTTTGCTCTGGTTTTGGCATGCATCTTATTTACTCCCTTTTGAAGGACACTGCGGTCCGAAAAACCAACTTCGTGGTTGAACACCACTTCCGGTGCCTAACAGTCAGTTTTCGGGGCCTCGAGTTGCGCGTTTCGGCCCCTGAACCTTCATTTTGCATCGGTTTAAGTTCATTTTTGGCAGGGACCTATGTTTCATTGTTAGGAAGGTCGTAGAAGGGTGTGAGGCCAGCAATTGTTTTGACAACCAGTTTTATTCCTCCATCGTCCTCCGTCGCCCGTTTTTCTCACTTGAAAGCCAATGTTGACCACCTTA